GGAAATGGGAAATAGTGAAACCAGTGGGAAATGGATAGTGGTGACACTGGTGGGAAAGGGGCAGTGGTGAAATGGGTGAGAAATGGACAGTGGTGACACTGGTGGGACATGGGCAGTGGTGAAATGGGGGACAAATGGACAGCAGTGACACCGATGAGAAAGGGGCAGTGGTGACACCAGTAGGAAAGGGGCAGTGGTGGAAACGAGTTTGAAATGGTCAACGGTTAAATTGTCAGTGGTCAAACAGATAACAAGTGGCTGGTGGTCAAATGAATATCAGATAATTGGTCAAGCTGGTGACAAGGGATCAGAGGTCAAACTGATGACAAGGGGTCAAATGAGTATCAGATGGTCGCTTGTACGGGTGACAAGTGGTCAGGGGTCAAACGGTGCCGGGAGCTGTGGTCAGGCTCCAGCTGTCAAATCCTCGAGGTCACACGGTCACGGCTGTGAAATGGTCAGTGGTCAAATGGCTGTCAAATGTTGGTGGTCAAACTGGTGACAGCGGTCAGTAGTCAGACAGCTCCAGGGGCTGCGCTCAGAGTGTCAAATCCACTGGGGTCAAACCGGTGTCAGTCCAAGGTCACACGGCAGTGACAGGATCAGTGGTCAAATGAGTACTCAGTGGTCAAAGGGTGTGCTCAGTGGTCAAACACGGGTGCTCAGTGGTCACGAGTGGTCAGTGATTGAACGGGTGCTCAAGGGTCAGTGGTCAAATGAGTGCTCAGTGGTCAAACACGGTGCTCAGTGGCCACACAGGGTATTCAGTGGCCACATGGGTGCTCAGTAGCCACACAAGGTGCTCAGTGGCCACACGGGTGCTCAGTGGCCACACAGGTGCTCAGTGGCCACACAGGTGCTCAGTGGCCACACAGGGTATTCAGTGGCCACATGGGTGCTCAGTAGCCACACAAGGTGCTCAGTGGCCACACGGGTGCTCAGTGGCCACACAGGTGCTCAGTGGCCACACAGGTGCTCAGTGGCCACACGGGTGCTCAGTGGTCACATGGGGTGCTCAGTGGCCACATGGGGTGCTCAGTGGCCGAGCAGGTGGCACCCCGTCCCTGCTCAAAGGGTGACAAATGCTCGTTGCTCCAGCAACTCCGGGGCCGTGTTCAGCTGTCAACCCCTCACTGCTCGCCCAGGTGACCAGTGGTCAGTGCGAGTGGTCAGTGTGAACGGTCAGTGAGCAGTCAGTAGCCAAATGACCCTTTCCAAGGGCACCCTCTGACCTKTGAGCACAGGAGGAGGCCGTGGCCGGAATTTGGGATGCCCTCAGCGGTGTCCAGCGCCTGTCCAGCACAGCCAGGATGCGTTTGCCATCTCTGCTCCCTGCACACCAGCGTGGCCAGCGTGCCACCGGCCTTGGCCACAAAACAAACCRATAAAAGTCCCTTTGACACTTTGCCAGACAGAAACTTCTAAAACACATTAAATCCTTTCGGAGCAAATCACTTCTCTTTGTACTCACATCTATCACCGGTGAGGCAATTTCACACAGTTTGGGGAAAAAAAACAGGATCAGATTTATGGGAAACTCCAAAAAAACACCGCAAATTTTGGATTTGGGGATCCCGAGCATCCTCTGAGGTGTTTTTCCCCTTTTCCTTATCCCCGAGACGCGGAGTTTTCGGTGTGGGTTGTGTTTTTATCCCCGGCTGGAATGTGGATATTGTTTGTTGACGCTCCTTTCTGATGTGGCGACGTGTTGGTGTTGGCTTGAAACCACAGCAGCGTTCGGGGATCCACTTCTTGTTTTTCTGAGTTGTGCAAATATTTTTTTGGGAGGAGGGGGGAAACGATCGGAATATTTGTTTTCAAAACAAATATCTTTGAAATCAACCGTTGGTAAATTTTTCCCCCTGCAGTGATGAGGATTTGAAGTTGTAAAAATTCACAAATTTTGGGGTGATTTCACCAAAGGAGGGTTGGGATTGTTGAGGTACCGTCTGCATTTTTAGGATTTTAGATTTCTTTTAATTCCCAAATTTAATTCCCAAATTTAATTCCCTGATTTTTAGGATTGGG